TTTGTGAATCCTAAAGGCTATTTCTGTCAATTTGTTAAGTTCTAATATATTTGTTGGCAAGGTAGTTCGTCATCTGATAGCTTTAAAGAACACTGGTGAGCTTCTTGAGTAAACTCTTTCTTACCTGAATTTTACATCAATTGTGACTGCCTGGATACCTGAGGGTGATCTTCTCTGGCCTGTTGTTGAAGACCCAGACTGATCGCGAGAAAAATGACAAAGTCCGAAGCTTTGGGGCTAGTTAGTGCTCTTTTCCAACGTCTCCTGGTATAACGTCAAAGACGTTGGTGTCTAAAGCACCTTTTTTTGGCAGACTCAGTTGTTTTGATGATCTAAGGTAGAGAGATTAGTACAGATTAGTTAGTGATGCTTGCTCATTGGAGACTCCCGTTGGCTCAAGTTTTTTTTCCTTCATAGCTGTTAGGTTTGCCCAGCGCAGACCTTAGAGAGGATCGGTGATTCCTGGTTAAATGCTTAGAGTCGAGATGGTGATATAGGACCGTCAGTCACCGGGGTTCCCAGCCTTCCGATGAACAATTCTACTCGTGATGTCTGCCAGGGAATGACTGACTTGGTTTAGTAGTGGCTGGCTTTACATAGTGTTTTAGTCGACAAATAATGTTTCCGGAATTGGTAGTAAAAATTTATTTGTTGGCAAGGTAGTTTAAACTCAGGTGGCCCTTAAAAGAACCGATGAGATTAATGGTTAAGTAATGAACGTAAATACTTATATTGGCTCTGAAAAAGGCCAGTGGTGAAAGTTCTAGTTATTCCTTATTATTATTCTTGATGATGGAGAGCCAGCTGTTGGTAGCTTGACTCTTATCCTCGAAGTCTGTGTACGGAGACCGTACATGAGGGAGATACGCCGCTGACCAAAATATATGTCGTCTTCAGGTCGTTCCCTGCATAAGCAACCGCTCATCATTAGTCGGGAAAGTGGGCTTCGAGAATACCTTCTCTGTAGGTATGCCGTTGGATTGACCATTAAGAAGTTGACCGTTGTGGCTGCCCGTACTCTTAAGAGCTGTCTTCCCTGGCTTACATTAGTAGTAAAGAGTTCTCTGACGGCACCAGGCCAGATTCTGGTACGGCCACATAACTCTGCAGGATTTTCTCTGGCTAGACACGTCTTCTGATATTCCGCCGGATACGTCATCAGTTAGAATAAATTTATCATTGGTGGCACTCATTAATCCTGGAGGTTCAGGGTAAAAGTAGACCTAGATCACTTTCCCATTGGAGAAGAGCGTCATCGGTAACCGGGATACCCAGCTGCACGACTATCATCTTTATTTTCGATGCAGCTCCATGAACTACAAAAAGACGATTGCACAAATTTCTGCGACGCTCTGACCTATTATAACCGCACTTATTTATTTCTGTTGCAGGTAGCTTCGATTTTATGTCAACGCCACCTAGTGGATCCTTCTGAAGTAAAGTGAAAAGCTGGCGTATTTTTTCTAAACTTTGAGCTTATTTATTGCAATTGCTATTAAATTTTTCAAGATAAAAACCACACTCAAACCATATAGGAAGTGTCAAGAATCGGTATGTAAAATTTCAGCAAAATCGGTTCAGTAGTTTTCACGGTTAGCGATTAAAACGGTTTTAGCGACTTTGCTTTATATATCAGTAAGATTTTTTTAAATGTAAGCCCTTATTGGGTAAATGATAAGTCCAAAGATGCGAACATCATGCCAGTGGTAAGAGAAAAGTTCTAATTTATCGTGTTATGACTGGAATAGCTATTGTTTAAAAGGAGTGTTTTTTCTTACTCACATTTTCCACAGTACCGACAAAAATTATGAAAAAACTTGAGTTATTTTCACAGCTGCAAGTTATATGAAAAATTTATTGATTTATAACAACCCTTTCTGAAATATAGTGTTTTCAGTCATGTAACGTACATTAAACTAATCTGTTATTGACTAAGGAGATTCTTTTTGTTTCATAAAAAAATAGTAATTTTATCTAAGTGTACTGAAAAACGTTCCTTTAGTAAGTGGTTCCCTCATTTTTTTGGAAAATTTCTAAAAAATTTCAACTATGAAATATCAATGAGTTAGTAGAAACGAAGGTTTGAAAATTTTCTAGTTATTTTTACAATTTTGAGCTGGAAAACAAGGAAAGAATTATGAACTTACCATTATCAAAAATATTTAAAGGATTTCATGGCGGTGCTACAAATGTGATTTAACTTTTTCTTAAAACAGAAATAATCTCTTTTTTTTCTGAACAAATCGTTATTAGAATTTGGGATGTTTGGAATTTTTGGGTATACCTCACCCTCTTTCTTCGTTGTATTCTAGTTGTAATAACTGTATTTAGAACTGTCATGGTAAAAGTCAATTTTTCTATGTGTCCAGCTTCTCACATCAATTCCATGGGCTACTGCGTTTTTAAAGAAAATTTTTCTTGTTGACCTTAACATTCGGGATAATCAAGAAATAAAGGATCCTTAATGTAGTAAATTTTTTAGTGATAGTGATGTATTTTTACATCAAATTATATTTTTTGTAAATCTTTTTCATTTTTTTGTGTAAGAGGAGCATGATTTATCCTTTTTTTGATGAGTGTACACAGCTAATAGTTAAAAAAAAAATTTACAAACTAATTTATTTTAGCAAAATACTAATGATAAAAACGTCTGTAAAGTCATGCATTTTCTGGAAAAAAGAAGAAAAGTTGAAGATTTCCATTTCAACGTGGAATTACAATAACGCTACGTTTAAATTAGCTAAGTATTACAAATACAGTTTCTATATGTATATAATTTGCGTGTATATACCAAAAAACTATGGATCTTAGACTTTAGTTTGTAACAAAAATAACATAGACAAATATAGAAGTTGTTTAAAATACTATCAAATTACTTGGGTTCTAAGATTTAACTGAAATAAATGAATAGGATATCCATTGTACGTCTGCTATGCTTAGCTGTAGCAACATCGTAAACTTTTCCACTTCTATGTTCATAGGTGCACATTTAGCAAGATCTGTTAAAGCGTTTCCAAAGTCTGCCTTTATGTACATATTTTCACGCATTTCTACTCATCTTTTTTTGGGTACAATTTAGCATACCCTTACCATACTCTCTAATAAAAAAGAGCGCTATTTTTATTAGTTTGGCCACGATGAAGGGCGTAAATCAGTTCTAAAATCACCTGTACATGCCCCTTAGCATAGTAGTCAAAAATGTTTCTACTTAGACATATTTAATAACTATATTTAACATGTAAGAAAACCTTCCAAATCGCCCTAATTTTTCTTAAAACTGTAATTTGTTGCAGATGATAAAAAAACAGAAAACACTCTATTTTTTATCAGCCTAACCCCCTAAAATCGAACAAGGTTTAATTTAGGGGGTTAGGCTGATGAATTCATCTTTAAAGTTCATCCCCAATAAGTAGTTTTTCTATACATCTCAATTTTAAATTTATACGTTTTTGTAAAAGTTATGAAGATTTCGTCCCAAACAAACAACGAATAAGCCACAGTGATTTTAGCAGAAAGGATTAGCATCCCTTTTTTCTTGGTATGCAAAACCCTTGTCTTATTACTACTGTATAATAAGGAATTTAAAAATTATCAAACAAGAAAAAAAATTAACTTTAAGTTAGGAAAGTTAGTGTACGTATTTTAGCATATTTTTGAACTTTAATCTTTAAAGTGGTAAAGGTCTTATTCCAAAAAAATAGATCCACTAGTACATGATTTAGATAATTCAATATAACAAGAAACTCATTTACAGGAGTTTCTGAGATTGTTGACTGTAAAATGTCAAAAAAGCTTTCTCAAAAATTCTATAACAAATTGAAAGAGGAAAGTTCGTGAGGTTGCTGCCAACGAATTCAATGGCAGATTTATGAAAAAGTCATATGTTGGGTCTTAGATCAAACATGCCGACAAAAGACCAAATTTTCATTTTAACGGTAAACTATAAAAGCTGATATTTAAAGTTAAAATCTGTTAAATTTTTCGTAAGACAGAAATACGTCAACTTAAGTTATTAACTTCGTGTTAAAGTATGTTAATTTTTTTATTCATTATATAATATTCTGATACACAGGTATGAAAGAGATGATTCTTACGCCTAAAAAATTCAGAGTGCAATTCTTTTTCATAAAATCACTTTAGTGTATACATGTATTTTGCACGAGAAAGTGTTATTACTTTATTTTTAAAAAAATATGTAGCTTAAGCAGAAATATTTAGAAAAAAAACTTATAAAGATAAACTTAAGCGGCTGTTGTCACCTTATTGTTGATATAGAAATATTTCTGTGAATTCGGAGGCAACTGTTGAGGGATTTTCTTGACAGTCTATTTCTAGGAATAAATTTGTTTATAAGCGGCTTATGTATTAAGTTCTATAATTATAACACTCATTATTTCTACCTCAGACGTTGGTCAAATTTCTTAAGCCCAATACTTTTGAATTAGTTATCAAATACATATAGATGAAAGTACACACATACTATTTTTTTTAATTAACGAAATTGATGTTTGCTTTAAAAACTTAGCTTTTCATATACTATCAAGCTTTTTATTTGATTGAATAAAATTTTCTTTGATCTTTCAATATCAAAAGGGAAATAAATTATCTTTAAAACTTAAAGTGCGGGCATATTTTTATATTCAGATGAGAGAGAATGATATGTTGTTCCAAATCTCAGTATTACCAGAAGTTTCTGATAAAATTTTTATCATCACTGCTAGTACAGTTTCTAGAATAGATGCAATCATGTTTTAATGGCCTTTCTTTAGATAGTTTTGTTTATGAGAGTTAAGTAAAGATTTTTTTTTAAATGGCAGTTTTTAATAAGATACGGTTACAAGAAAAAATCAAATCGTTACAAAATATATCGGTAAAGCTTATAATTACTATAGAGCTAGTGATAATTGCTATGACAGAACGTATATGATTGTTATTTTAATTATTTTGAATATTCTGAAAAATAATTTGATTAATTTAAATAGTGTAATTCCCATACTTACCATTAGATAAATGGCTATCTTGCAAAGGATCAATAGTATGAATCATAAGTTGTAAGAGTCCATGTCGAAATTTCATATGACTTTCTCGATTTCTGACCGAAGGTACTACTAGGGCCTTGTCCTGTGAAGCAATACTTTGATTTCCATCTTTACTGCAATGACTTTTGTTTTTGTTGAGAATATCTTGATTTTCATTTTGATTTTTAGCTTTAATAGATGGTGCACTACTATCAGCATTGTTCATTGTAGAAAGACGTTGCTGGAAATATATAAAATAAATAAAAAGAGACAATAGTATGTAAAATTTTTTACGCAATAAAATTTTTTAATTAACTTATATTTGCAGATCTGCATTGCAATGGTCTAAAAAAATCTCAAAAATAAATTGCCCGGATGACAATACGGAAATAACATTTTAGTTAATGTAGCAATACGTACCATAACTTATGTTATATAATATTCAGTAAAAGTGCTTTAAGAATCTTTTATATTGTGTAAGTATATAAAAGGTGAGTAAAAATTTTTTGTTCAGTATTAAAAGAACATAAGTGTAGATTTTTTTACAGTTTATAGTAAAAGAAAACAACATAAATGGTTTTTGCAAAAGATCAGTAAAATAGTTAATTTGTAGATGAGAAAAAATAATCTGTTTCAACGTCATCTCTTTTACTACCTCCCTTAAATGTCGTAGGCACCGTTAACTTTAAAATCTTCTCAAGTTTCAACTTAATAAAAATATGCTACGTTCCTTGAAATGTGAATTTCGCTTGCTAGTGAATTAAGGTAAATGAAAAGTTTCTGTGCACATAATTTAGTTTTTCAATAACCTTAATAAATAGTCCTTCCACCACAATTGTAAATCAAGATTTAGTGTTTTAGTTATTATCACAGTACTCTGATTAATAAAATATACTAAAAAAAGTATTTACGTGAGCATGTCTATGAGTAAAAATACTTATTTTGTGAGTTTCCGTTCGTCACTAGAAAAAAAATATCCTTTACGATTTATTCAAAGTTTTTTTATGTGTTTCAATGTCGTTGTTATATATTTGCATAGGAAAGATTTTTATGTATGCAGTTTAAATTGAGAAGTAACAAACGTCACAGATCGCAAACATACTCATAACATATATGGTGAATATAAAAAAAAATTGTGTCTCAAAAGTGCCCATCAAGTACCCGTTAAGAGTCTGCTTACTGACAAAAAGCTCGTTGCTACGTAGTTATTCATCTACACCTAAGCATTGTCCATGGCAGCCCGCACAGCTAAAAAACCGTTCTAAACAGGCTAAACATGAGTAATTTTTTAGGGTCTTTTTTGAAAATAGGTTGTTGAAATAGTATGTTATGCACCTAGGGAGCTCGGCCTCGCCTCAGGAGTTTATTGACATGACATCTACGAGATTCTTAACCTTCGAACGTGATGCGTATACTATTTTTCTGTAAACCCTCACCAAAAAAGCTGATTATCTGCTTGGGAGCAGGGCAAATATGAAACACTTTACCGGAGGTTTGCAGAAAAAGTTATTTAATGACCATTTGAGATTTGGGATACGTTGCTGTATACGGCAGTTGATGCTGATATTTTCTAATGTTCTTGCATATAAATATTTTTCTACATACATGTATTACATTTCCTTGCTTGTATTCGTTTTTGTTGTTTTTACATTCATAACACACAAAAAACTTATACAAAAATAAACATAGCATCTGTTAACCATATCAATAGGGTATCTTTCAGACTGAAGATTATTACAAGGTCTAAAAAAAGCTTTTTTTTTATAGAAAATAGTAGTTTTAACTTCTAACTCAGAGTTTAACTTCTTATAACTCAGAGATTAACTTCTTATAACTCAGAGTCCAGATAAAAAAACGAGGAAAAGAAAGCAGAATTCAAGAATTAATGGTAGTTTTGATACCTAGGACTTATAAATATTTAAGGCCAAAGTTAAATTATTTGAAAAATATTAACATGATTTTCATCGATTGAAAGAGTTTTCCTTTTTTCTGAACGGTAATTTTGCTATTCTCACCAAAAATATTTTTACTACACCATACAATAATTATGATCTTTGGATTAAAAATCCCTCATAAATGTTTATGAATTAAAACCAAAGTCCTTAAACGTTTTTTTCCTGACTTTTCTTGTCAAATTTTTTGCTATAGCAGCTTTAATTATTACATAAATCTAATGTACTATTTGAACGTTCATTTAGTTATTATATGTTGATTCTAGGACATACCTCTAATTAGTGTAGATATTAAGATGAAGTAGCTTTGAAACTTAAGAATTAACATAATCTGATCAGTAATGAAGAAGAGTAAATCTATATTGATTAATTGATTTTTAATGAAAGTGATGCCGTTTTCTCACATGCTATTGGAACCAAGAATTAAATGTGGCAGCCCAGCCCAAGGCAAATCTCCGAATCGTGGAGGAATACCATTAGCATGAAATCAGTGTTGTTCATAGGTATTTGAAGATCTTTAAAGTCAATTATTTTATGGCTAGACATGAAGCATCAGAATTATAGAAAATTTAATTATAAGTAAGTGCCTTTTCATCCCATGTAAGTAAAGCAGGCGCTTTCATATTAAAGTCATTAAAGTATGCAGAACATGCAAAAGTATGATGTGTATATAGTAAACAGTGTATCTAAATGGTGCGTGAGGTCCATCTGCTCGGTGATTCCTCTCAGCTTTGATGTATATTGTCACGGACATAGCTTGGTTCAGTCAAGCCAGCGCCCGTGTGTAAGCACACCGTCATACCACTGACGACACAATAGCGCACGCTAAAAAGTGCAATGAATACAGTCACACTTGGTGGCGGCAGCGGTCGTGGCTGAGCGGTCAGCCTTAAGTTTCACGAATCCTTAGTTGACGAGTTCGAGCCCCTGCTTCGCCTTTTTGGAATATTTTCACTACAATATTTTGGACTCCTTAATCCATTTATTTAATAAATCGGAATAACCTGCTTCCCATTTACACGAGAATCCCCAAAGCTTGTTCCGTAACAAGCGTAATTTGGTGACATCGGTGGGATATAGAATTAGGATATCGCCTACGGCGATCGAGTAGGTAATTTGCGCGAAAAATTCACTTAGATGTGCGCCGAATACATCCATCACCAACAAGGAAGAAATTTGCATTACCTCCGGTGGCTGATAAAAACTGCATCTCCTGATCAGTGAGTACACTACTAGTGAAGCTACTTTGTCATGAAACGATATTGAGGTTGGAAAACAGTACAACGATGCTACGAAAATATGATGTAGCCTGTCGAGGAACATTAAGAGATCTGCGAAAAAAGACTAATAAACAGTTGTCGAATTTAAAGAAAACAATACCCAGCAGGTGTCGTAGTAAGAGGTGTCATCGGGGACGGTGACCCATTGACTAGGGAGGTGTCACGGACGTGACTTGATTCAGTCAAGCCATTGCCCGTGTGTTGGCACACTGGCGTACAACTGTTGATACGATAGAATGCATCTAAGAGTGCTATTAATACAGCCGCTCTCGGCGGCAGTCGTGGCTGAGCAGTCAGCGCAAAGTTTTGCGAATCCTTAGTTAACGGGTTTGAGCCCCTGCTCCGCCTTTTTGGCAGAGCATTTTACTACAATATTTCGGACTCCTTAATCCATTTATTTAATAAATCAAAATTACTTGCTCCCCATCTACACGAGAATCCTCGAAGCTTGTTCTCTAACAATATATAGTTGAGTAGGTGCAACAATCAGTTCTTGATTCAATTCATCAAACTTTTAACGGCTGTATTGTCAGAACCCTAGCACTTATTTACATAGGATCAAAAGATATTTACTAATAATCAAATTTACCTCACGTTTTACACCTTACACCTAAAATTTAAAGATAACTTCAAACAACGTGCATTCGATGCCACTCCTAAATATAAATACAATACAAGAAATAAATTATATTTGTATGTAGGTAGGTATTAATATATATTTACATGTACGTTATACCTTACAGCAAGTTTGTTTGTGCCTTCAGATCCTTTCTCTCGTCAATTGCGTGTTCCCAATTCACTGAGATTTTTAAGTTGTTTGAGCTATTCTCACTTTCTTATAAATCATTTGCTTACTAGAATGGAATCATGGAATTTTCTTGCAGACAAACAGTATTTACGTAACAAATTATTTACTATAATTAGTACTAAAGATACGTTTCATTTCTGCTGTGACATCATTCATTGTTTTGCGGTTCACTGATGCGGCTCGTGCATACTTTGAAAATATGTCAGTTACAGTAAGTATATTTGTTCTCTCTAACATAAGGTATCACTGAAACGAGATCAGTTCTTGTGTGTCATAGTTTTGATATGGATAGTTACGTCAAGCTGATTTCTGGAGGTCCTCTACTATAATTTTTTTCTTACGACTCATCCATGTTAACGTTTGGTAAGTGAATGCAAAATAAGATCACAAGTATAATTAGTAGACTTATTTTTTCTTATTATTATTAGGAAAAATGTTAGAAATTGGAGATAACTTCCTTTTTATTTTTCTGTTTTCAATTTGCTATTTTCTAAGTAAATAAATCATTTCATATACTTCATATTGCTTTTAGCTTATCTTGTCCATCATTTAGAATTTTTTTTTTTAATTACTTAAATTCATGGTATCGTTTGAGCTTATTACTGCTGCAACGCTGCACAATCTTCTGTATTGTAAATCATACTGACCATCAGAAGTAACTTTGTATCTAATATTGGGTGGACCGTGGCTGCTGCTTTCAGTCTTACTTAACTAACGTTTGAACACGTCCATGCTCGTTGCGATACTGACTTGAATTAACTTACGACTCCGTATATATACTCTTCTTATTGCCATTATCTAATAATTAATATTGTCTCTTATTCATGGCATTGATTTTCTACCGATTTCTCAGCGGTGAGTAGGCAAAGATGATCCACTAGTTAATTTTGGATCCCAGTGTGCATAATCTTCTTGCTGCAGCGTCGGTCTAGCCATTACATAGTGAGGTCACAATAACCCTGTAGTAACTTATTACTATTGTGTGTTTAAATAGGAGCATTCTTACTAAATCCCTTTCAATGTGCACTTTAAGTTTCCAAGACTATATAATATTCATCAAAATTATCTTAAGTGATGCAAGTTGTTTCAGTATATTTTGACACGAGTAGCTCCATCAATCTGACAGTCATAGATAGTTTTATCTCATTTGTTTTAATTCCGTTATTACTTGCATTTATTAGTTAATATTTAAACTTATACT